GGAGTTTGCCTGACAAAAAAAAGGGAATTTTAAAGTAATAAGGGATTTTTGTGGGATTTAATAATTCCTGCATCAAAGTTATCAAAGATGCAGTTTTATGGGGACACTTGATTGCACAGATACTATTTAAACTGAACTGAGCTGAATGAAGACATCACTGAATTCAATGATGAACTGTCTTTAACTGGAAAATTAGTGTTTACTATTGTCATTTTGCATTATTGACACACTATTTTCCTAATTAATGCTGTTCAGTTGCTTTGACACAATCTGTATTGTTAAAAGCGCTATATAAATAAAGGTGACTTGACTTGACATGTGTTAAACTAGAACATTCTGACCCAGCCAATGGCGTGAGTTTGGGGGCTGTTGTCTGTTTGTCCAATAAATCAAGAAACTTTCAGGAAACAATCATTATTTCATTATTAACTCGTTTTGATACAAAGCAGCTAAATCAGACGAGAACGTACCATCACTGTCTCTTTCTGTTTAACTAGGTGACCCACTAACAGCCTGGCAATGCTGAAACACACACACACACACACTCACTCACACACACACACACACACTCAAACACACACACACACATTACAGAAACACTGTGTGTGTATGTGTGTGTGTGTGTGTGTGTGTGTGTATGTGTGTGTGTGAATGAGCTTGTCATGTGTGTGGTGTGGTTTTACTGAGTTTACAGTATCATGCGTCACATTTTGAGCGTTTATCGAAGCGTCTCGAAGCGTGTGGAATGTCTCGGGACATTTGCTATGAATATTCTGCATTGTGTGTGTGTGTGTGTGAGAGAGAGAGTGTGTGTATGTGTGTGTGTATGGGGTTATTTACTTTCTGAACAGCTTATTCAGCTCAAAACCAGCGTGACTGTCATTGCCAGAATTCACAATTTACGAATGAATGAAATATAAGAAAACATTTTTACTTCACTTTCACAATTGCACTCTTTCACTTGTCAACAGTTAGTTTGCATTTGATAACATGTGCGTTATGGATATTAATTGTTTGCATTTATTTTTTTCTTTACAGTTTACCATAAACATTTGCCATTTGAGTCATATTAACCAGAAATCATAATATTTAATAACTAAAATCATAACATAATACCTTAACAAATAATTACATAAATTATTATAAAAATTAATATGTTAATTAATATATATATAATTTCTGGAAATAATTGCAGGTTATATATATATATATAGAGAGAGAGAGAGAGAGAAATAGAGAGACGGATAGATAGATAGATATAAATTATAACATGTATAAATTTGTGTAATTTCTGGAAATAATTGTAGGCTAGATATAAAGTTAAGTACGGTAATGTGCAGTAGCAAAAACGTGGTGTTATCATATACAGTATAGTATAACCACAGTATGATGAATGATGACCAATATATATATAATCAATAATCTGTGATTATATAATAATCTCTAATGTGAAGCGCAGGAGCTGAGCGCCGGTGACGTCACACCGAACCGTTAAAAATCATCCTTCTGCCGCTAAACGCGAATTACCGGCGCGGCGCGTCTGAGGGCCTCCGCGGACTGACGCGTCTCTCCTCACTCTAATCATAATAACACCGCGTAATAACACGGTCTGCAGCGTTTAGTGCCTCACAGCGCTCACACACACGCAGACTCCGGGAATCAGGCTCTTACTCACGGCTGAGGGGAACCCGTCCGCTGCTGCTCGCGCTGCGCCGTCTCTCCGCCACACTGCGTCCTGAACGCGCACGCATGCGTCACACCGGACAGGAAGCGTGCGTGCGCGCACACGCGACGCGACGCAACTGACGCACTGCAATTCTACACTCCGTTTTGTCTGATGAATACAGTAGCCTAGCAGAAGCAAATATAATAATGCACAATAATGTATATTTGTAATATGCCAATAGCACGGTTATTACATTATTATAGTTAACTGAAATAAAACTAAAACCATAAAAAACATGTTCGTTACTTGAAATAAAATAAACTTTTCCTGAAATAAAATATATTAAAACTGAAACTATTTTCAGATAGTTGCCAAGGCAACATTTTTAATTGTCATTCAGTTTAACTCGTTACTAAAATAACTAAAACTGAAATAAAAAATAATAAAAACGACACAAAACACAAACTTACTTAAACTTTAACTAAAAGTTAAACTGAATATTTAAAAATAGTATTATAAATATAATAGTGTCTGAATACCGCTGGTTAATAATACCTAACGAATACATCTGACATACTGAAGACTACATTTATTTTCATTTTAATATTTAGAAATTAAAACCTCAAATCTGAACAATATCATATCTGCCAGAACAATAATAAAAAAGGACATTAAAAAATGCAAATGTCTTATTTTTTAATATTAAAAACATAAATGTTCACCAAATTTGGCTTGACTTCTTAATTTTAAAACACTTTTTAGGAAGAATATAGACTGGTAAATGATGTCGTTGCGGTTTATAAAACTAAATGAAATACAATAAAACGACAGTTTCTTTAGGGATTATTTATTTATTTATTTTTGCACTTATCCACTTGATTTAAAATAAACAAGCCTTCACTTTCAGCACCGACTGTAAAGAACAAATCACACACAATTACAAACCACTGCACAAAGTGCTTTTTCTGAAAAGACAAGTAAAAAAAAAACACCTAAACCATATAAACTGAGATCAGCAATTACAATTCTTTATTTAAAAATAACAGCACCAATAAGAACAGCCTTAGCTCACGACGGAACACACGAATAACACAAACCAGACTTAATCAACACATTTAAGAGCCTGTTATATATATATATCTATCTGTGATTGGCTGAATATGAGCAGCTGAATAAACTCTACTGTTTGATTTCACAGTTTCTGTGTGTGTCAGAGTCGAGATCATTAATCAGTCACTGACGCTTTAGATATTACATTACATCAAAACTAACAACATACAGCTCTGTAAATATTTAGATGTAAAATATAGACACTTTATTCATCACTATACACACAAACACGAACATCAGTATGTGCACGAGAGAGTTAAAGCAAGAGTTCAGACAAAAATCAGCATTAGCTGATAATGTGCTCATCCTGCATCCATTGCTGAGACACTGATGCAATGCTACATTTCTACAAACCTGACGAAGAAACAAACTCATCCTGATCTCAGATGAACACATTATCAGCTGATGTTCATCTAAAAGAGGGCAGGTGGATCTGTGACGTGATTCTCAGCACAAGAGTTCCCGTGTTTCCTGAAGCAGGAGGGAAAAACACACTTGGTTTTGCTTTACACGGACGGTTATTCTAGATTCAACATTTATACTTGAATTATGCAGTCACTTTTAATACTTAGCTCATAACGGTTTTCCTCTTCATTACTCATGAACTATAAACAGTGATCTGGAGAACAACGACCAACGCGAGTGAATTAAAAATGAAAACTATCTCATCATATACTCTCCCTCGTGTCATTTAAAACCTGTATGAGTGTTTTTCTTCTGCTGAAGAATGTCAGGACCCAAACAGCTGACGGCACCCATTGACTTCCATAGTATCCCAGCTAACAGGAAACATTCTGAGAACGTTCTCTCCAGTAACGCTTGTTCACTGATCTGCTCTTTAATAATGCTCTCAAAACGTTAGCAAAAAGCCTTATTTATACATTGTTAATGGAATGTTTTCCTGAAACGTTTTAGTTGGGCGTTCGTCTAATGTTTTCTGAATGTTACTACTTGCTTCAGAGAACATTCAACAGTAACATTCCCATAATGTTTGAAATATTATATAATGAAATGTTACCCTAACGTTTTCTTTAACATTTACATAACCAAGAAAGAAAATGTTTTTAAAATATTTTAAAAAACGAAACGTTCAGAGAACATTCAGTTGTGTTTTCATAACGTTACAGAAACGCTAGCAAAACGTTCCTGGGACATATTTTTGTTCGCTTAAAATACTATGGAAGTCAATGAAACTTTTTTTTTTTGTTTAGTTTCACGAAAGCAGGAAATACGAGTATATAATGGTTTTTAGGTGGTTTTATCGTAATGCGGCACAGTTTGAGTTCAGCTGAATTGGCACTTTGTATGCGACGCTGACTGCGATTCGATCCAGTTCTTCGTTTACAGCGATATGTAATAGTTTCAATCACACGCGTAGGAGGACGTGAAGCGGTCGCCGTGGAGACGGTTCTGCGGTTTCCACGGTTACCAGATGCCACTGGAACGTCCACCAGGTGGAGCCAGAATTCTGGCCGAGGATCTCTTAGGAATGTGATCGTCCACTTGAGCTCCTGTAAAAAACGCAATCCCACAATCCTCAGCACACGACTGAATCTAGTGCGGTCAAACGATTAATCGCGATTAATCGCATCCAAAATAAAAGTTTTTGTCTACATGATATATGTATGTGTACTGTATTTATTTATTATGTATATATAAATACACACACATTCAGTATATAGTTTGAAAATATTTACATGCATATACATTTATATTATTATATTATATATAAATATATTTATTGTGAAAACCAGCTGTCAGCTTCCTGTCTGAATCTCAGCCTGATTACACCTATGACTATTTTATTTCTAATCCTGGTTTCAAGCTCAGAATAATGACCGGAGACAGAAGGAAATGCATACATGAGCAGATGTTTTCTGTTTTTACTGCATCCGAACAGACACAGAAAAACACAGATTTTGTTAAAAAAAAGAAGCTTATTTTGCACAGGTCTCTGATCTTAAATGGAGTATTTTAACATTTTTCCACTCCTTTGCAGATTGTTAAATAATACATGTTATATATAATACATGCATACATTGCATTAAAAGTGCATTAAAGCTGACACACACACACATAAATATATATATATATATATATATAGTTGAGGAAAAGTACTATTTTATATTTAAATATATGAAAATATATATTTTTTAATATCTTTTTATTTGTAAAATATTTCTTAATTTTTATTTAAATATTGTAATATATAATAAATAAAAATCTTCAACCAAATGCCAAATGTATCAACCAAATGCATCTTATACGAGATAAATAATATATACACGATATATATAAACCGGCTGAAATGTTTTGGAATCACTTGTAGCCTTACCTGATCGAACAAATCCAGTCTTTCACTCTGTCTGTGTCAGTTTGAGTCTTGTTAAAGATTTAAATCCCTGCCAAGATGCTCCTCTGTCGGTCACGGATTATAGAAAGTGAAACTTAAATCTATAGAGGTGGATGGATTTATTCACACACTTTAAAATATTTATTTAAAGCTTCTTTCTTTTCAGATTCTTATTTACAGCATTATCTTAATAGGCTGTATATTAACTTATTGGAAGAAAACCGGTAGTTCTGTGTGAAATCAGACATTTGAGCACCCCACATAGCCAAAATGGCATGATCATAACACCTCTGCGAATATTCGACTGTGAGATTGGTATCGAATCAGGCTCCTCCTATCGAAGCATGAATCATCGACTATTCGGGGTCACCCCTAATTGTCATATTCATCTGTTTCATCCGTTCATCTGCTTCAGGTGAAACTGAACACATTTTTAGCACCACTCACTAGACATTTTACTTTGAAAGTGTCACAAAACATGCAAGAAGCAACATAATGTCATTTTTCAGAAATGTCGCCACAGGCACGTTGGGTTGAAAATAACACTTATTTCACTGGGACAACGCAATGTAAGCTTGATAAATCTACTGCATCTAATACAGCAATTTATGATGCAGTTAGTATAAGTCTTTGCAGATACTGTACCTCTGCCAGGTGCTTCATTGTTGGAGGAGGCTAGCTGACTTCACCCTGATTCTCATCATTCTGACTCTCTCTCTCTCTTTTTGTCAGGTTGTAGTAGATGGGAACCCATTAAAGATGCATGCTTAGGGAAATTGAAAAGTCAGACTTTAGTGCATAAAAATTAGGCTCTATTATTTGGCTGTAAAGAAGCACAAAAGACTATCAGAAGGCAAAATGCTGCAATGAGGTGCATTTTCAACATCTTTCCTAAGAAAGATTGTGTCATCTTCACAATCAAAGACACTGAATGATTCTGATGAGGCAAATCAAGTTCAGGCCTAATTTTCATGTGAATGACGTAATATGATAGAACATGAATATTTTCTTATAGATCTAATGTCTACATATAGTAGCAGGAAAAATTGTTAACTGGATTTCTGCTTTAATTATTTATAAGCATACTTTGTGCTTGCACATACTTACAGTAGCAGTTTTATTGTTACTTTATTTAACTTCAGTGTTCCTCATCTTGGTATATATTTTGTACTATACTTTAGTAGTTTATGTCTTTCATTTTGGTAGACCACAAAGATATCAGTGAATCTGTGTTATTTTAGTATTTATATGCTATTATAATATTAATATTTTTATTTAGCTTTTATTTTTATATTTTCAGATTTCATTTTAATTTGAGTAATTTGTCATGCACTTTTATTTTTATTAGTTTTTAAAATATTTTATTAAATTTCTGTTTTAGTTTAATAATTTTTTTACTACAACTTTTTTTTATTTCAGTTGGTTGACCAGGCAACATTTCTAATTTAAATTTTTAATTCTAATAGTTTTTGTATTTAAGTTTTTTTTAATATTTATATTTTAATTTATTTCAGCTTTATTTCAATTAACAAAACATTTTTAATATAACTTTGATCAGTTCTTCACAAAATTGTTATTGTATGACTTGTAATATAGTGCTTGAGTAGTATTGACTACTTTTATGACACTTTTATGTTGCTTTTTATGTTGCTTTTTTTTATTATTTTTGGAGCTTGATGGCCCTGGTCACCATTAACTTTCATTATATGGAAGACAGGAGCATGAACATCCTATTAAACAGCTCAAACTACTAAAACAAGACACTTTATCAACATTATTATATTTAACAAAACTGTATCAAATTTTCCAAAATGTTTTTGCAATTAAAAAATTACAAATTAAATAATACTAATAATAAAAAAACCGAAGTGCAGAACTAAGAATTGCATAGGAAAAATACTCCAGTTTTTGTGTTTTCAATCAGTGCTGAATAATGTGTCATGGTCTGAGCTAACAGGAACGGTGTGTGTGCGTCTGTGTGTGTTGCAGTGTGATAACTTGTCATCTTTGCCACTTGCTTGTTTCTCCTCTATCTGGAGATGACTTACAAGAGTGGAGCAGTAACTCTCAGACAACCACAGTTGAGCTGATCGCTCTGCTCCATTATGGTTGACTGTACATACGAATACCTGCTCCAAACTTTACAAATGTTTGAGTCCCTGAATATAAAAGCAGAAGGCTGTGTGGCATCGAATCAGATCACGAAGCCCATGGGTGTTCAGCCAGTCAGAGCACTGGGAAATGAAGGTGTTTGACCAATCAAAGCGCAGGAGCCTCAGGGTACCCGACCAATTCGCCAGAGCTTGATAGGAGTATTACATCACTCTGTGAACCATATATCAGGCACTGAATAATGCAAACCCTGCCCATTCCAATGAAAGAAGCAAAGGCAGAAAAACGAGTCCCCTCTGTCCGTTTTCTCAGCGAGGGAGAGAGAGAAAAATGAGAGTGAACGACAGGATAATCCATCATTATGATTGTGCTGGTGACAGTATGACAAAGTCATGAATGTAAGGATGTTTCTCCTGTCTGATGAAATATGCAGAGGATTATGTAGCGATATAACATTCGCACTGTATTTACAGGACGTTTGTACAGCTGATGTAATTAAAAAGAAATCCTGCCTCAAAAATTACGATGATACTTCCAGCACCACAAATTACACCACCGACTGTGATATTTAGTATTCATATTAAAAATGTTTCTAACTGAATATGAATGAGAGGTTACGCACATGCACCGACAGCAGTGTACTTTCACTGCGTCTGCGCTGAGTCTTTAACACACATGAATTAAGACAATCAAGAGACAAAGAGAGAGAGAGACACTATGAGGGAGAGAGCGAACAGAGACCTAACAGGACAATACAGGTGTCTAAATGAGGAAAAGAGAAATAGGCCAGGACAACCAAGATGCTCCTCTGTCGGTCACGGATTATGGAAAGTGAAACTTAAAATCTATAGAGGTGGTTGGATTTATTCACGCACGTTAACATATTTATTTGAAGCTTCTTTCTTTTCAGATTCTTATTTACAGCATTATCTTAATAGGCTGTATATTAACTTATTGGAAGAAAACCGGTAGTTCTGTGTGAAATCAGACATTTGAGCACCCCACATAGCCAAAATGGCATGATCATAACACCTCTGCGAATATTCGACTGTGAGATTGGTATCGAATCAGGCTCCTCCTATCGAAGCATCGAATCTTCAACTATTCGGGGTCACCCCTATTACATACTATTAAAAAAATCTTATTTTGCAAAAAAACTGTGCGTGATGTAAAGTTTTTATTGTTATTTTTTAACTCGTCATCAAATTTATCTAATTTTAGGTGTTTTTCGTAAATCTGCAATGCT